AATAAACTGTACATATAACCTTAAACTAAAAAGTTCTAATTCAGTCCTTGATAAATATAATAAAACATTCATAAAAATATTGACTCAAGTAAACTAATAAACTTTAATATCAAATCGTAACATCACGCCTTTGGCGACAAGTATTAATCACAAACCTGATTCATCTACTTGTAACAATTGGTGGTGACTGTGAGATTTGAATTTCAAAAAAAAAAAAAAAAAGAAGAGAATTCCATTAAAATGAACGAAAACCAATTCAATAAATTCATGGAGATGATGACTAAGTCCTTCTTTGAAAATAAACCTAGCATTAAAGAAAACAATTTTGTGAAAATCAAGAATTTCTATGGGACGGATGACGAAGACCTTATTGAATAGTTTGACGATTTTGAACAAGCAGCTAAGACTAATAATTGGACCGAAAATCATAGGTTATGAATTGTATCAGGTTACCTAAAAGAAATGGCAGCAGATTGGTATAAAGAATATAAGAACGAAATCAAACGTTGGAATACAGAAAATGAAAACCAAGAAAAAGAAAGTTTGTATTACTTACTTGTAGAAAACTTTGCACCCCCAGAAAGACAATACCATTAGCAAAATGAACTAAATAATCTAAGACAAAAAGAGGAGGAAAGAGTAGACACATATGCTATGAAATTTAAAAGATTGCTTAGTAGAGTAAACTTGATAACAGCCTTCTAGATGCTTATGTTGTAAGGATATTTTTAAGTGGTCTAAAAAATAAAAATGCTACTTTTGTTGCTGTAACCGTACCTAAAAATCTGAAAGAGGCTATTTCTGCAGTACAAAGAGTTGAAGTGGGAGACTATTATGGCCAACAAGTGAGCGAAGACCTCAAAAAATTGCATAGCAAAACAGAATTGAAAGATATAAAAGAAAGAATGGACCAAATAGCGTTAAACTATGTAATACTAGCTGATAAGTTAAAAAATACAGAAAAAAGACATCTTTACCCTTCACACAAACAGCAAGAAAAACTTGGATATTATATGACCGAGATAATGGAGCTCTGACTGAAAAAATTCACATTTATCTAGGTTTAATTTTAATCCCACATACCGTAATTTATTGAAAATTATTTTTAAGTGATTAATGTGGTCTTCAAATATTTTAGAGTATATGTTTATGTTATCTAGGTAGACAACAGCGTAATCCTCTATGCATTCTTGTAAAACTTTATCCATAAGTCTCTGGAACGTTCTGGGTGCGTTACAGAGTCTAAATAGTATTACATTAAATTCATAACTGCTATACTTAGTAACAAAGGTTGTCTTTTCTTTATCCTCTTCTCTCATTCCTACTTGCCAGTAACCACTTATCAAATCTAAGATAGAAAACTATTTGGTACTACTGAAAGTGTCAAGTAGGTCATTAATATAGGGAAGGGGGTATGTATCTTTCTTTGTAACTGAATTTAGCTTTCAGTAATCTACGCAAAACTGGAACTTCCTACCTTTTTTTGGCACTATAACTACAGGAGAAGACTAAGGGCTAATTGATTCTTTAATTAGTCCTTTATCTAACATTTTAGTAATTTCTTCTTTTACGAACTTATCCTCTTTCTGAGCTAGTCTGTAAAAGTTTTGTTTAATTGGTGTTGTATCCCCTGTATCTATGACGTGCGTGGTGACATTTGTTTGTCCTAAGTCTTTTAGGTTTCAGGCAAATAAATCTTTTTCTTGTTTTAAGAGATTATTAATTTTTTTTTTTTGTGTTTTGCTTAGTTCTTCATTATTGAGGAACTTTCCAAGTTTCTCTTCAGAGGACTTTTCGTTGTCTTCATCATTTCCACTTGGCATTTCCTCTATGTTAGTTAAGTATAAAGCAGGATTTTCCTCATATATTATTGGCCAGGTTTCAGTAAAGAAACCTTCAGTATCACTGGATTCCTCCTCCTCATATTCGAATTCGTTAAAAGTATCTCCACTTTCACTATCAAATTCTTCCTCTTTGTTTTCAGGTAATATTATTTCTTTTCCAGTATTAGATATTAGGACTTCTGTTGACTGGTTTAGATATTTTAGGTGTAATTTTTGCTCGTCAAAATGTATGCGGGTATTCACTTTTTGGAACCAATCAGTTCCTAGTAGTAATATTTCTTCAGAGGACTCTAAAACTTGAAGAGTGGTAGGTATCATTATACCTTGGACCATTATTTTTACATTTTTTATTTTTCCTAACGTTCTGGCTTTTTCTCTTGTTGCTATTACTACAACCGTGCTTGATTTCTCGTCGATTTCTAGACCAAGCTTATCAAGTAGTCTTTTCGATATTATACTTATGGCTGCTCCTGAATCAAGAACTACTGTCAAAAGGTTGTTATGAATTTTTACATAGTATCTAGCTACTGTCATTTGACGATTTTCTTCAAAATTAATGAAGTTGGTCTCAGGTGGAGGTAACGTTCTTTTTAATACTTTAGCCAGTTTCCTTCTTTGATTAGGATATTAGAGTATTTGTCCTACTGTGGCACTTGTTGGAAGAGATAAAATATTATCTGTAACGTTATATAGTTTTAGGGTATCAACTAATGAGAGATCGAGTTTTTTTTTGGCTTTATTCATTGAGGTCGAATTTATATTTATAGGATTGTTATTAATTTCTATTTCTTGTCTTTCATTGGTGTTTCTGATTGGTTGTGTATTTTTTTTATCTCTTAGTCTATTTTCCTAATTCGGGTTAATTGTTCATTTTGTAGCCTTATTTGTAGTAGTTTCGTTCCCAACGACGTACACCTCCTCACTTTTATCTTGGACTAGTTCGCAAAAGTTCATATCCTTAGGTCGAATCCAAGTCTTCTGGTTAGTTTTTTGATTCCCTGCTGGTGTCTTTTCTTTTGACCAACAATCTTTTGATATGTGGCCTCATTTTCTATAATTATGATATCCAAGTTTTTCTCGCTGTTTGTGTGAAGGGTAAAGATGTCCTTTTTCTGTATTTTTTAACTTATCAGCTAGTGTTGTATAGTTTAACGCTATTTGGTCCATTCTTTCTTTTATAACTTTCAATTCTGTTTTGCTATACAATTTTTTGAGGTCTTCACTCACTTGTTAGCTATAATAGTCTCCCACTTCAACTTTTTATACTGTGAAAATAGTCTCTTTCAGATTTTTAGATGTAGTTATGGCAACAAAGGTGGCATTTTTATTTTTTAGACTACTTAAAAACATCCTTACAACATACGCATCTAGAAGGCTGTTATCAATGTTTACTCTACTAAGCAATCTTTTAAATTTCATAGCATATGTGTCTACTCTTTCCTCCTCTTTCTGTCTTAGGTTATTTAGTTCATTTTGCCAATGGTGTTGTCTTTCTAGGGGTGCGAAGTTTTCTACAAGTAAGTAATACAAACTTTCTTTTTCTTGGTTTTCATTTTCTGTATTCCAATATTTTATTTCATTCTTACATTCTTTATACCAATCTGCTGCTATTTCTTTTAGGTAACTCGATACTATTCACAACCTATGATTTTCAGTTCAATTATTGGTCTTGGCTGCTCATTCAAAATTGTCAAACCATTTAATAGGGTCTTCGTCATCCGTCCTATAGAAATTCTTGATTTTCACAAAATTGTTTTCTTTAATGCTAGGTTCATTTTCGAAGAAGGACTTAGTCATCATCTCCATGAATTTATTGAATTGGTCTTCATTCATTTTAATGGAATTCTCTTCTTTTTTTTTTTTTTTTTGAAATTCAAATCTCACAGTCACCACCAATTGTTACGAGTGGATGAATCAGGTTTGTGATTAATACTTGTTGCCAAAGGCATGATGTTAGCGATTTGGTATTAAAGTTTATTAGTTTACTCAAGTCAATGTTTTTATGAATGTTTTATTATATTTATCAAGGACTGAATTAGAACTTTTTAGTTTAAGATTATATGTACAGTTTATTTAAGGAGTTCTTTTTAATTATTATTTATTTGTGATAGTCCCTCCCAAGGAGCTACTCTT